CTCACGCTTCAGACATTATTAGATCAATTATTGTTGCTCAAGGCACTGGGAAATAAACAATAAAAGCTTTAAATCAAAATTTACAATTCAGTTAATGCTGATCGTGTATATATAATTTTTTATAGTTCAACTTCTTTAAAATGCTATTTTTATTTAACTTCCACATGGGGTGTGCGATAGACTTACCTCCACGTGGTGCACCCTGGGCAATGTATACTCATAAGGCAAAAAAGTCTACAAACCGGCAGTTGAATTCTGACTTCAAACTACCACGACCCCCCTGGTTGCCATATTCGACCCCTTCCACAGGACTCACCTTACCTTTTTCTCTACCTTTGTGTCTCTCTGCCTCTTTTACATCTGTGAATCGCTCTTCTATACCCCATCCCTCGACTTTCTTCTACTTTGATGAACCTTCCTTCTGTGAAGCCCGAAGTCAGCTAAATGGCTAATGATATCTATCAAAACGCCTGCCATTTGAAATAAATATTTGACTTCCACATTTTTAAGGTGAAGAAACAGATCACCAGAATATTTGCAGAAATTAATTTAAAAAAACAACAGCATTTAAATGTTTATTTCATTCCTCAAACCATTAAAAATAAAATATCATAGCGAGCAATTATTACGAGAACAAAAAATGCATTCAAATATCGAGCCAATATTAAATGAGCTTAAGAAGTATGACCAATTTAATTTAATTATTAAATACACATGGCAGGCAACAACATAAATGGCCAATTAATATAGATTGAAATTTAATTTAATAAAAGAAAAGGAATAAACAATTAGAAGAAGACATTCACTTGCTTATGAGTCTTATGTAATTCCATAATCTTTTGAAGAAGTTGATCTGTTGGATTTCTGACGAACTCAAATTGACGAAGGTAATTAATTCCAGGCCCCATGGAATCAGGGTCATAGTCCCCGAGTTCTGACTGGACATGGAAGGAACCGAGGAGGGCTTGTGTGACCCAGGAGCACGGCAACTTGCCCGTGTAGACATCCTGTCGAACTTGGAGAACAAGTTGGTATCGTGTGGTCTCGTCTTGAAGCATGGTGGGCTCCGGTGAGTAGAACTTCACTTGGAAGTAAAATTGCCAATCCGCAACGGCTAAAATTGAAATAATGGTTTGAGCAGGTTAAAATAAATTAAAGAAAGTTGTTCAGAAAGCTAACGTTGTTCATTATTCAACTTGCTTTCGCCATTAATGTACTTAAATTTGAAACTATTAAGAAACGCTTCTTCTTAAATGCATTTACAATAATAAAGCAAAATATTGCTATATATAATATATATGCTATTAAAGTTATTAATGAATGGAACTGAAATTTATGAAAAGATTCAGCGTAAAATCGACGATATCGTTTGGTGTAGATTAGAATGGAAAACCATTAGGTCCTAAAAATGTCTAGCAGTATATGCATATTGACTCCTACCTTCCAAAGTTCGAATTGTCGGTTAATATTATTTTATCGGTCGCTAATAAATTAACATAAGGACCCAAAATCTGTATTGTGCCCAATTAACACCTCCCTTCCTCCACAATTCCCAATTCATTTTCTTGTCAAAATTTACATTTATCCTACTTATCTCATTGTCTTCTCGGTTAGGCTAAAGTTTATTATTCCGGGGTGTGTGATAGACTTACCTCCTCGTGATGCACTCTGGGCAACGTATACTCATATGGCAGTTGACTTCTCACTTCAAACTACCATCACCTCACTGTACGTCATATTCGACTATTTTCACAGTACTCACCTCAACTTTGTTCTACCTTTGTGTCTGTCTCTTACATCTTTGAAACGCTCTTCTGTTCCCCCCCCCCC